GGCAGCTGCCCGCCGCTGAGGAAGAGGAGGGAGGGGGCGCGGGCAGCTGCCCGCCGCTGCTGCCGAGGATGCCTGGCTCCAGCTCCTCCTCTATTTGAGGTCCATGAAGCGGATGTCCATGATGAGGAGGAAGTTCTTGGGCAGGGGCCGAGGGGCGGGAGAGAGGACGGTGAAGACCTGGCGCTCCAGGTCGATGCCAGTGACGACGATGAAGCCGGCCACGCTGGTCTCGGAGATGTTGTCGTCAGGGCTGTCGGCAGTGCTGACGCTCAGCAGGTGGTGCACCATGTCCCGCCCCGGTGTCACCGGCACCAGCTTCAGCTGGTTGTCCTCCTGCGACATGCCCAGGGGCAGGCAGGAGTCCGGGATGGTGGGAGCCCCCACCTTGTAGATCTTGACGTCGGAGAACTTGACGTCGAAGGCGTGAGGGTAGAAGCAGCCCCGGAAGCCGTAGAAATACTCGCGGATGCGGTCGTCTCGGCACTCCCGCCGGAAGTCCTTGGAGCGCTCCACCACCCCGCCGGACTTGGGGAGCAGGACGGTGCGCACAAAGTGGGGCAGGTCCCTCTTCAACTCGTTGTACAGCCGCTCCTGGTCCAGCACCACCACCACATCCACCTCGAAGGCGGAGGCGGCGTGCACCAGCGCCTGGTAACCTGAGCCCTTCACCCAGCCACAGGTGTTGATGACACAGCCACTCACCGAGGCGCGGCGGTTCACTTCGCAGCGCTGGTTGAAGACGTCGGCCAGGCGGGATGTGATCTGCAGGGGAGATGGGGCAGAAGTATCAGGACGGAGCAGCCTTTTTGGGGCACCCGCATCTCCAAACCTCAGCTGGGTCTCTCTAATGCCATCCCCACCTCCTTCAGTACCCCCAAAGCCTCGATTCCTGCAGCAGCACCACGCTAGCTGTGACTGGGCCAGAAGCTCAGGGGGGCAAAAACGGGCAGCCACCAAACAGCATCGGAAGGGCAGGAGGCCAGCGTGCCAGGCCCTGCCCAACTCCTCAGGGACACAGCAATCCTCTGCACTGTCCCTAATGTGCTCAGTTGCTTACTGCTAAAGCTCAGGAGTGATACCTGGTTCCTGGGCAGCCACCTGGGATGAAACCCTTTCCTCCCCTCCCCACCCTCAAGAGATAGCTGCAAAGGGGCAATTTGCCATGCAGAAGGCTGAAGCCATTCCTAAAATGTGTTACAAGCACTTAAGGGTGCTCAGCTGCAGCAGGAGAGTCGCTTTTCTGTCCCGAGGGCTGCCAGGGCAAGGGCAGAGCAGGGCTACAGAGGCCTTCAGCCAAGCAGGGGTCTCTGTCACCAAACAGCAGCGGTGGGAGGACCCTGGAGATTCAGGTCAGCTTTTGGGGCATCTTCAGGTTTTTCTTGGGCTTCTTTCCACCTGGGTTTCCATAAACAGAGAGCCAGGCTGTGGGCAGCAGGAAGCAGGGGGTCCCTGCAGGGGAGCGATGCCATGTGGTGACAGCCACCATGCTCTGGCTAACACTGGCTCCACATGAGAGTGATCAGACTGTGCCCATGGCTGCGCTCTGCTCCCCTCTCAGCTAGGGAGCCCCGCAGGCTGAGCTCACTCAGTGTGACCTGCAGCTCTGGCTTTGCCCTCTGCAGCCAGCCATGACTCACAGCCTGCAAAGGCCCTCGGTCACGGTCCCTCCGCTCCTCCTCTCCAGGCTGAAGAGCTTCTCCCCTCCTCAGGGGGCTCCTCCAGCCCCTTCACCGTCTCCCATATGCCTCTCCCCTCACTGCCTGGGCCCTCCCTATGTCTCTGTTGAGCTGCAGTGCCCAGAATCGGGCACAGCGCTCGGGGCAGGGATGCGCCCCGGTCTTCTACAGTGGCAAAAGCAGTGGGACGATCCCAGGCAGGCCAGGAGCTCTGGAGCCCAGCTCTAAACTGGGCCCGTCCCCGGGGTGAGACCCCCCCCTCCACCAGGGGCTCCCTGCGCTCACCTTGTTGTAGAGCTTGATGTTGGTGCCGGGCGTGGTGGAGCCGAAGTGGTAGACGAGCGGGGCCTGGAGGGAGAAGCCCTCCTCCACATCGGCCGGCCGCTCAATGTAGAGAGCACCCATGGTGCCGGGGATGGAGACGGAGCCCTGGCCCACATCCAGCTCCACGAAGGTGGGCCGGCGCCCCAGGCGCACGGCGTAGTTCAGCAGCAAGCGGCACACGGTCGACTTACCCACGTCAGTGGGTCCCACCACCATGACGCGGGGCCCCCTCTCATCCTCCCGCTCCGCCTGCCGCCGCATCTGCTCCAGGGCTGTGTGGGTGTTGAGGTAGAGCAGCATGGGGGTGTCCTTGGAGACGTAGGCCACCTCGGTGCGGCCGCTGAGCTGGACGGTGCAGCCGTGCCAGGTGAAGACGGCCACCTTAGCGCCGGCGTCAAAGGTGAACTTCTTGTTGCGGGTGAGCTCGGTGCCAAAGACCTCGGCCATGCCAGTGAGCAGCTCCAGCTGTACCATCTGCGAGGCCTCCACCTCGAAGCGCAGCTCCGTCTCCCGCTCCAGCTCGAACTTGGCCACCTGCTTCTTCTCCTCCCCGCCGTCGTCCGCCATGACGCGCCACCGGGCCTCGCCTGCCTGCTGCGGGGAGGGCGACGGGTGTGCGGCGGGGCCGGGCCCGTCCCCCGAGGCCGTCGGGCTCTGCCCCCGCT